AGACACACACACACACACACACACAGACACACACACACAGACCCATTACACAGACACACACACACACACACACACACACAGACACACACACAGACACACACACAGATACACAAACACACACACACACACGGACACACACACAGTTACACACACACACGGACACACACATGAGATCAAAAAGTAGTAATAGTGTTAAAATAGTTATCTCACAAAAACCTCTTCATATTATCGTGAGTTGGGGGGTTAGAGGTGATCAACCAATCAACACACTGAGGACCAGGTGGAGGAGGAGGAGCCTCCTGTAAGCCCCGCCCCTCCTGGGCCTGATGCCTTTTACACAGATGGAAAGATATCAGAGAGAACAAAGCCGAGAGGCACGTGAGAAATCTGCAGGATTAGAGAATGCAGGTCTGAGCGAGTCCACGAGACCTGCGTAGGGAGCCTGAACGAGACTCAAGGTCTGAGCGAGTCCACGAGACCTACGTAGGGAGCCTGAGCGAGACTCAAGGTCTGAGCGGGTCCACGAGACCTGCATAGGGAGCCTGAACGAGACTCAAGGTCTGAGCGGGTCCACGAGACCTACATAGGGAGCCTGAACGAGACTCAAGGTCTGAGCGAGTCCACGAGACCTGCGTAGGGAGCCTGAGCGAGACTCAAGGTCTGAGCGAGTCCACGAGACCTGCATAGGGAGCCTGAGCGAGACTCAAGGTCTGAGCGGGTCCACGAGACCTGCATAGGGAGCCTGAGCGAGACTCAAGGTCTGAGCGAGTCCACCTGAGAGTATGTTTCATGTAATGAAAAAAGTAAAAGTTAATATGAGATTCAGAAGAGTTTGAATGTAAAAGTACATATTAATATAAAACTAATATGATTTACCATAAAATGACAGAGAAAAACTGTGAAATTGTTAGTATGGACCTAATGAGTATAATAATAAAATGAGCTATATATTTAATTTACAGATGATGTCTGTAATTTGTAGTTTTGTATATAATTTAAAAAACGATTATTTTTATTGACTTCATCTACTCAGTGATTTTGTTTGCCTGTAGGAGAGGATTGGGTTCCTCCGGCAGCAGATCCTGGACCAGAGGAGGGCGGTGGGGAGAGCCCTGAGGGCGTCTGCAGCACGGAGCCGAGCTGACGGAGGAGGTGGAGGAAGTCGCTTTCAGACTTTCCTGCTGTGGTAAAAACAGGAGTTCACAGGAGTCAGTGATGATGTCATCAGTCATCACTGATGACATCATCAACTAGCAGAGCTTCACTTGGTCGTATTGTGATGTGTTCAGGTTGTGCTCAGTGAAAATCGACTTATCTGTGATTATTATCTCGTTAATGTAAGTTGATGTTTTCACATGAATATGGAATCAACATTAGAGATGAATTATAACGTTTAACCTCCCGACCCTTTAAAAGCATTATGGGTAATCGTGAAGAGGTGTGTCCCAGGTTACCTGGAGGGGCTCACCTGTCTCATCTACTGGCTCGTCCTGCGCTCAGCTGTCTGTCCTGCGGGGAGACGGTGAGAGGGGACGACGTGGTCGCCTGTGACGTCCCGCGGTGTGCAGGTAGTCATTGCATCACCTACTGATCACGTCACCACGGACCAATCAAGTGGAGAGCTCTTCTTTCTCCTGGACAGAGCTTTTATTGTGAAATTCTGCCTCCAGGCGTGTGTGCTGAGGGAGTGTCTGTGTGTGTACGAGTGTGTGCTGAGGGGGTGTGGGTTTGTGTGTGTCTCCATGTGTTACTTTGTATCGGGACGTTGCGTTGTTACGTTAAAGGGTTAAATGTGAACATACGACAGGAAGTGATGGTCACTTGTTCTGCGAGGTCATTTTCCACTTCCTGCCCTGCGGCTGCAGGCCTGTTCTGTCGGCCATGTTTCCTGAGTCTGGAGAGCACGTGTGCCGTCTGCACGCGACCTCTGACCTCCGGTGAAGAGGGCGAAGAGGAGCTGTGAGTTTCTACAGCGGTCGATGTGTAACTGATGTATTGATCATATTAATGCACAAACAACACTGACTGATTGATTACTATGTCAGCTGTAAATACTTACAATACAAACCTCTGCTTATGACACATTTAAGAGTTAATCAATAAAGCTGATCGCTGATCAGTGTTACTTCTCTCAGCGACTCCAGTGACGACGAGCAGCTGAACTCAGGAGCAGGAGGAAGTGACATCATAGACTCCGACTCCCAGCTGAGGTGAACTACAGGAAGTATTGATTATCTGACACACACAGACACACCACCACGTGTTTGCAGGGTCGCCCCTGCAGCTGATGGGGAGTTTGACCTGTAGAGCGTCTGTTTGTCCCACCCCGGCTGCTGTCAGTGAAGCAGACATGACGTACCAGGACCGACCCGGGTCGGACGACAGCGACGACTCCTTCCACTCCGCCTCCTCTCGACGGAGCAGCCCGCAGGACCCGAGCCTGCAGTCCGTCCTCGTGCACGCACCGGAGTGACTGCAGGACCCCCCAGGACCCTCCAGGACCCTCCAGGAGTCTCCAGGACTCTCCAGGACCCCTGTTACGATGCAATTAAAGTTATGGAAGCATGGATTGATTAGTTTCATTCACGCCATGAAGACAGAGGACGTAGCTCCGCCCCCTGCGCTCTCTGGAGCTCAGTGTCCTTCTAACGTCTCAGGAAGAACATTTAAGCTTCAGATAAAATATGTAAAATTGGACACTGCTGGCTGAACGAATATATGAAGTACACAGTATTTATGAACATGCAAATACCAAACAAGACTACATTTGAATACGTTTAGTGTCTCAGGTCGTTTGATTGATGTTTTACCTCTAAAGCTGCCTGCTTTCCCATCATGCTCTGCTGTTTTACCTGTGAATCACACTGATGACAGGTGAGTCTGACTTCCTGCTGCTGTCAGCTCTTATCTTTAGTGTACTAATACACAAGTCCCGCCTTCACATTTCACAACTTAAAGTACCCATTATACAGATAAATAGTTCTTATAATAAGTGATGTATGTCGTTTATTTATGACTTCATATCATCTATAGTACGTCATCATTTAGGTAATTATACATTTATTTATAATAGGAATCTGTAAGTAAAGACATTAAATAAGGATGTAGTCAAATGTACAGTAAGAGGTTCTCTAAAGTCACGTACTTATATGTAGTAGAATTAATGTTGATGAAACCAGCAGCAGACTGGTCGCGCTGGTCAGCGCCCAGTGGGCGGGGCGTGAACTGGGCGGATCCCTCCGCGGCTCCGCGGCTCCGCTTCGCTTCTCGGGACTTTTCGTGGCTTCTTCTTTCCGTTGAGGCAGCGAACCTGCGCAGATGGCGACCACGGTAAGTTCGGCGAGTTTCTATTCGGGTTTCCATGGTGACGTGATTGACACGCGACCTGCCGATAAAGTTAATATCACTCGATCGGCTCGCTAGAAAACCGCGTGGTGCGTTCAAGTACACGGAGCAGAAGCACTGTGACACAACGGCTCGGAGTTAGTGAAATATGTAAATGTAAACTATTATATTATATTTATTATTATTATATCAACGTTTACTGGAGTAAAAGTATCAATGTACCTGTACAAATACACGTTACTGGTCACAGATCAAAGCAAAGACTGGTCCCAAACCAGTCGACACCTTCAGCAAACAAACAGGAATTCCAACAGAACAAAAAAAGGATGCTTTTATTTTGAAAGGTGAAACAAGACAACTTGACTTCAGTAAGATTTCACATTCATTAATGTTCATGTAAATGACCTTTTCTTTGACAATTCTTTGCCTCGTTTGACCCTTGGCCACGCCCATAAAGTCGACGTCGCACAGAGATTTTATGATACAAATGCTTTTACATTGGTTCTTAAATGTCCCACTTACTATGAACGCACCATAATGTTAAAGGATGACTTGGGAACATGTATTTAGTGGCGTTGCCAGGCAACAGTGAATAAATAAAGACCGGAAACAAATATTTGATCTGTTTATCTGATCTACTAAATATTAATAAAACTACTTAATTCTTACACAATAATATAGTACATACTATTTTGTGTACTTTAACTATATTTTGAGTTAAATAACTACGGATGGGCCGTTACCGAAGTACAATACTAAATAACAACGTTGTGTGACCATCGTAACCTTTGTGATATTACTTCTTCCTGGAGGCGGGAAACATATGGCATTAATTTGTGGGAAATCAACCAATCATTTCTCAACGATTCTTGGAAGTTTGGCTTAAATTGCTGGAGCAGAATGTCGGAATGACATAATATAAAAGCAGTGAGCATCACATTAACGGTTTCTCAATAGCTACTGTTTTCCAACAGACGGTAACGATCAGAACTTCGTAAAAACTCACCTGGAAGTGTTTTTAGTAGAAACTATCTATCTAATAATAATGTGTGTGGTTGAATAAAGGCGCCGTTTGATTCCTTCACTTCCACTCGGCGGTTCTTCATTCATGTTTCTGCGATGCGTTTGATGTTCGTTCGTAAATCAGAGGTTTCTGTCGCAGGAGACGTATAATATGACCGCAGGCTCTTCTGTTGTTGAAAGACAAAAAGAAAGGAATGTGTGTGAGACAGAACGCTGGTCTGAGATCAGCAGATTCCTGAGCGACCAGCCGCCGCCCTGTTTCACAACAGCAGCGAGTCCTCAGAGGCCTCCGCATTCCGCTGCAAAGCCTCATGTCTCCAAAGCCTCATGTCTCCTGACTCCCATGTCTCCAAAGCCTCATGTCTCCTGACTCCCATGTCTCCAAAGCCTCATGTCTCCAAAGCCTCATGTCTCCTGACTCCCATGTCTCCAAAGCCTCATGTCTCCAAAGCCTCATGTCTCCTGACTCCCATGTCTCCAAAGCCTCATGTCTCCAAAGCCTCATGTCTCCTGAGTCCCATGTCTCATGGTAGATGAAGGAGTAATTGGTCAAAGACCTCATATGTTGTCTTTTGTTATTCTTGGAGCAAACTGATGTGTTTCTTTTAATCGTCAAGTAGTTACTTTTGTAATGTTGCATTGGAACGTTTCTTTTGGAGACACAGTTTTGTTGTTCCTCTCGTTGACACTTCCAGTCAACTCTGTCGTCCAAGTGGACAATTTACTTTGACGGCTCAGCTCAACGTCCACAGAATCTACAGATCTGATGGAAAGCATTCTGCAGTGTGGGTACATTTACCTACCTTGCGTACTTTCGGAACACACTGGTATCAGTACTTTTACTGAAGTACTTGTAAAGTTGATTCATGAGTCTAAAAACGGAAGATCCTGAAGACTTGAGTCTGTCTCCTGTGACTGATTAGTGATTATTGATCACTGATCATAACGCCGTCTGTGGGGTGTTCTTGTGTCAGTACTCAGATCTGGAGCTGGCCATCAACACGCTGGTCTCTGAGTTTCACGGAGCTGCAGACGACGGACCGACCCTGAACGCCTCTCAGTTCCAGAACATGATCGTCAAGCAGCTGCCGGGGTTCGCCAAGGTCGATCAATAATAAATACGTTATGGATTATACATCTTATCTACATTATATATGTATATTCATATATATGTATACATTTACATATATAACATTAGGTATTTCTTGGAATACATTTTTGGTTTTCATGTGTTTTTGGTTACACTATAATATAACATCTGGATGTAATACACCGTAATAAATGTAAAAACTATTACGTAACATGGTATGAAGGCGTGGCGGCACAAATCAAGACGACAAGCAGTGGTTTCCCACCAAAGGTCTTGTGATGAGTCTTTCAGCAAAAGGTCAACTTGATTCCAGCAAGAAGAGAAATAACAGAAGAAAGTAGTTTATTCTGGTAGAAATAAAGATAACGTAACATTTCTCCCTCTGACTCGGCCAGTTATCCAGCCGTCATGCTGCTGGGGGGTTTATCCTCCACTGACGACTCCTCTCATGCATCACAATGAGTCATTTATTTGTTTAGTTTATCATCGTACATACAGTCTAATTTAATATTCTATGATATAATACGATACTATAATATCGTGTACTTTATACTTCCATGCTTCCCGTTATTTTCTACTTCACTGTTTCTTTAAGTGCTTCCTGTCCAACATCAGAATCTTTGTTCTGGTAGCTGTTTCCATGTGGCGCGGTGGTGACTCTCTTCCTGTTTCCTTTTTGCAGCAAGTGGAGACCGAGGAGGGTCTGGGTCTGGTTCTGGACCAGATGGGGGTCAAAGATGGTCAGAGCATCTCCTTTGAGAACTTTTGGACTCTGATCAACAAACAGGCAGTCCAGCAGTTTGCCTCCTCCCACAAAGAGAAGAACATCAGCTGTGGCTGCTACTTGATGTGAAACCCGAGACCACCTGAGACCACCTTACTGAAACCTACGACCACCGGACTTCCCCTGAAACCCACCTGAGATTGTTTGTACCTGCATCACATCTGGGACCACCTGACGGACACACCTACATCAACCTGCATTCCAGATACAACCGAGACCACCTGGGACACGAACACACCTGTAAGAAGCTGCATCACCGGGCTGATCAACGGGGGGCGGCAGGAGGATCGTGGGACAGGACGGTGCCGAGAAAGAAGAGTTTCACCATGATGATCAAAGAAAAAAAACATATAATAAATTCATTAATCATCGAGCATAATCATTAATTAGCGGAAGATAAAGGAACTGGAAACTGAAATAAATGTGAACAACGCTAAATAATTCAGGTAATTAGATAAATACATCAAAAACATGCAAAACAAAAACTTGGAAATGCATGTTTTAATTAAAACTCCACAAAAGACAACAATTAAAAAAATAATACATAACTTCGAAAATATATTTAGACAAAACGACTAAACGTGATGAACTAGGTGGATAGAAATTATAATAAGGGAATGGAAACCACCATCACATGCATCAAAATAAATTAACAGAATGAATTATGTAGAATTGAATTAATTTCCACAAAACTGGAAAAGAAATTCTATAAAAATAGTACAGAAAATGAATAAATAATGTGGGTAAATTTATTGGCATTAATCTAAAAAAAGGAATACATGTATTAGTGTTTACAAATCAAATTCCTTGAAAAATGTGAAAGTTAGTTTGTGGTCAAATTATTTCATGTCACTTATTTCTCAGACATTTATTCTTCATCTATTGATGTTTTGATATTTTGGACCTCCGTACCCAGATTCAAACAAGTTTAATTCAGATTACATGTTAACCTGTTAAAGTTGAAGTTGAATTATAAATATGTGATACTAATTCATGTTTGTTTTTCACTAATAAACCTAGTTCTTGGATTTGTATAATCGTGGTTATGTAATGTTGCTCCTTTAACATTCGTTCTTGTCACTAATAAAACTATTCTCTTCTGATACAAAACACCTGGTGATGTTATTTATATTTAATATTCATGTTCTGAAGCACTTAAGAGGTTTAATCAACAGTATTCCTACAATAATAATCATTTACCTACCAACAGGAAGTATTAATATTTCACAGTAACAGGAATTGATACTGTTATCACATATCATATAAAAACATCTTGTCAATAACCTTTTTATAGACTCATATCTGGGGGACTGGGACAGGTTGGTGGAGCTGTGGGGGACGGAGTCAGGACATTGTCTATCAAATCTGCAGTAGAACTCATTCAGCTCGTCTGCAGGCGGAGGTCATTCATGGAGTAAGATATATGACTAGTCTCATGTCACAATAGAAATATAAAGGCTTAGTCTCATGTCACAATAACAATATAATGACTAGTCTCATGTCACAATAACAATATAATGACTAGTCTCATGTCACAATAACAATATAATGACTAGTCTCATGTCACGATAACAATATAATGACTAGTCTCATGTCACAATAAGAATATAATGACTAGTCTCATGTCACAATAACAATATAATGACTAGTCTCATGTCACAATAACAATATAATGACTAGTCTCATGTCACAATAACAATATAATGACTAGTCTCATGTCACAATAAGAATATAATGACTAGTCTCATGTCACAATAACAATATAATGACTAGTCTCATGTCACAATGTCAATATAATGACTAGTCTCATGTCACAATAAGAATATAATGACTAGTCTCATGTCACAATAACAATATAATGACTAGTCTCATGTCACAATAAGAATATAATGACTAGTCTCATGTCACAATAAGAATATAATGACTAGTCTCATGTCACAATAAGAATATAATGACTAGTCTCATGTCACGATAACAATATAATGACTAGTCTCATGTCAGGATAACAATATAATGACTAGTCTCATGTCACAATAAGAATATAATGACTAGTCTCATGTCACAATGTCAATATAATGACTAGTCTCATGTCACGATAACAATATAATGACTAGTCTCATGTCACAATAACAATATAATTACTAGTCTCATGTCACAATGTCAATATAATGACTAGTCTCATGTCACGATAACAATATAATGACTAGTCTCATGTCACGATAACAATATAATGACTAGTCTCATGTCACGATAACAATATAATGACTAGTCTCATGTCACGATAACAATATAATGACTAGTCTCATGTCACAATAAGAATATAATGACTAGTCTCATGTCACGATAACAATATAATGACTAGTCTCATGTCACAATAACAATATAATGACTAGTCCTATGTCACAATGTCAATATAATGACTAGTCTCATGTCACAATAAGAATATAATGACTAGTCTCATGTCACGATAACAATATAATGACTAGTCTCATGTCAAGATAAGAATATAATAAATGGTCTCATGTCACAATAACGATATAATAACTGGTCTCATATCACGATAACAATATAATGACTAGTTTCATGTCACGATAATGATATAATGACTATTCTCATGTCAC